CAGCATGACAGGTCCCAAACCACCCCCTCCCACTTCACACAAACAACTGATTTCTGTACACACACACTTTATAAGTGAGCAGTCACAAACTGATTGCTGACATCATTATTGTTTTATTTAAGGAAAAAGACTTCTGCTGTTTTAAACCATATTTTTAACGAATTCTTCCTACTTGACTGAGAGGCTGCTAGGATCGCTAAGCACAGAGAAACTGAGCATGTTAGGAGCTTTGTCCTATGACCGTCCGATATGGAGAGAAAGCATGCCAGACGTTTCAGTCGTGAGGACACAGGATTGTGGCTGTGTCCCAGCTTCCAGAAGTTGACCTGTTTCAGAGCTCAAGTGGCTTGCCTGTACGGAGCCCTTCCCTTGAGAGCTGAGGAACCATGTCGGGGTTCCTGCACCTCCTGATGAAGGGCTTGTGCCCTGGGAGCCCAGCCTGCTCCAACGGTGCCAGTCTTATGGCCTGGACACAGAAGCTTGTGTGATGCTGGGCATGCTGGGTTTGCACGTGTTGAACAGCCTGACCAGGGAGAAGACAGCAACACCCATGTCTCATGTCTCCCCAGTAGCACTCAGTCAGCGTGGCCACATGCACTGTCCTCCTAGTCAGAGTGGGGTCAGTGAAGCTCAGCGAGTTGAAACGAGCATGTCACTTGCTGCTCTGTGAGGTAGACCAGGTGACACAGCTGCCACAGGCCCATGTGGAAATGATGTCTCCCACCAGCAGTCCTCTGATGGTCTCTTTGAAAGAAGCAAAGTGTTTCTGCATTTAAGGGCCTATTCATGTGGGCCATTTCCTCAGCGGCAGTCCCGCTTTTCTCAGCCTCCTTGGAAGTGCTGGGTTCTGGGTCTTGTTGCTTTCCCTAACCTGGACGAACAGAGCTCTCAATTGTTCCCAGTGGATGCCCCTCCTCTGCCCTTCTAGGGAGAGACCTGGCTGGGCCGAGGGACCTTTTCTGTGACAGGTGTGGCCTCCCCATTCAGCAAGCCCAGGGCCTGGCTTTGGGGCAGTCCTTTGGGCAAGAAACAGCTGTTGTTTTGGCAGAGAACATGCTCTGTGTACTTTCTGAATCATCAGTGATTCATGAGGCCCGCTAATCCAAGCCCTGCCCTCTGGGTAGGTGGACCTGTGGACTTTGAAGGTTATAGTCTGTTAGACAGCTATGTATCTGGCACATCAGGGGAAATGTAGTCCTAGACTGAGGTGTACATCTATTTCTCATACTAACTGGATTTTAAAGTTGAGTAAATACCACGCTTGGTCCAAATAGTTGATCCATGTTGTTGCTGTTATTAAGTGCCATGGAGTCGGTTCTGACCCATAGCGATCCTGTATAAGTTTCCAAGGAGCAGCTGGTGAACTTGAACTGCCGACCTTGAAGTTCAAATGTCTTTGCAGTCTGACACATTAGCCCACGGGGATGGTAAAAGATACTAGCGGGGTGCAAAGAGTTTGTGGGAAAATTCCATTACAGTTGATTCCATTTTTCCACGAATTTACATCTATACTGAAGAGTCTGCAAAGCCAAGCACAGTTATATTTTGCAAGAGATTATCAGACCATGTGCAGTTTTATATGGGATTTGATGTTTGACTATTTGGCAAATACTGTCTAAAGCAAGCACAGGTACAAATACTGGTTTAAGTGAGTTATTAGCATCGTCAGCACTTAGCTGTCTTTGCTCAAATAGATCTTAAAGATTATCCCACCCCATCCAGTGACAAGGTGGTGGTTAACTGCTGTAAATTCGGTTCTGATTCATACTGTGACCCTGTAGAGGGTTTCCGAGGAGTGGCTGCTGAGCTTGAACCACTGACCTTGCAGTTAGCAGTCCAGTGCTTTTCCTGCAGCAGCACAATCACTGCAGAGCAGATCATGAGTGGATGCCTCTGCTGGTTGGGCCTTGGAATGCCTCTCAGCTGTAGAGATGCGTGTGGTCAAGGCGTCAGGAGCTGTGAGTTCTGGATCTTCGCTCTCCACTTTTGCCTCACCCTGCACCTTAAATTTTACCCTGTTTAATATGTTATTATATTTGACACACCAGGAGCCCTGTGGGTCAGTGGTTAAGTGCTCACCTGCTAACCCTAAGGTCTGCTGTCCAGCCGCACCCACTGCCTCAGCAGAAGAACCATGTGGCAGTCTGCTACCGGAGTGATTTACAGCCTCAGAAAGCCTGCCATGGCAGCTCTGTTCTGTGCTAACGGGTCTCGGAATCAGCTTGAAGCAGAGGGTTTGGTTGGGTATCTTTGACATCTTGAATAGAGACAGACTCAGTAACATTTGGCTTCTGCTTAATAACCATCTCCTTCCCTTTAGTTTCCTCCACAGCCTGAGACCCTTCCATGCCCTTCAGAAGGATTTGGTGAGGTGAAGTGTGAGCGCAGTGGGCTGGGGGCAAGGCGGGGAGGAGGCCTTAAAAAAAAAAAAGGAATTGGAGAAAGGCTGGGAGCCCCTAATTCTGTTCACCCAGAGTGGGACCTTCCCCACTGTGCCAGTCTGTTCCTGTTGTGGTTGATAGCAGCTCAGTATTACATTTGGAGAACCCTGTTGATTTCTCATGTCGACTGCATATGTCTGCAAGTGTGGGGAGAGGAGTATGGTGAGGCCCCGTGGATTCCCCCTCAGGGACGTTGGCTCTGCCTCCCGCCACAACTCCATTCTCTTGAGTCAGGCTGGCTGTAGGGCTGCCCCCAGGGGAGAGGGGGTGGGCAGGGAACTGAGGCACACGCAGGGTTTCTCCACTCACTCCCGACTCTGGATGGGAAGCCCTTGGAGTCAGGGCTGGGACCCTGCAGTCGCTCTCAGCATCCCACACTTTGCTCAGTGGGCAGGCATCAACCTGGTTCAGTGAGGGAGTAGACTCCACTGAAAGCCCTTTGCTCGCTCTCCTTGTTTTTCTCTTAAGTTTTCTGTGTCTGTATGACTAGAACGAAACATCAACTCTTTTTTTGTTTTTGGTCATGTTTCAGTGTTGGCTTTTCTTCTTGAAGTCTCCTTGTATAACTTCTTCTGTTCCAGCTTAAATATAGATGTCTAAGTCCTCCTCCTTACCAGATTGTTTATATTTTTGAGAAGCCGTCTGCTTATCTGTGATTGCTTGCTCTTCTCTATCTCATTCCCACTTTGCCACATTGGTTTCGGTTGCTCTTTTTTCCCTGCCTTCACTTAACTGGGATGCGTTTCAAATGTGGTCTATCAAAATGTTCAGTGTTTCCCTCTTTTCTGCAAGAGCTTTGACATCTGTTCTTGAATTCCAGCCCACAGTATTCTTTTGGACTTGTTTGCCCAAGATTTGCTTTAATGCCAGAAATAACAAAGGGAGAAAGTGTGGCATGGTGGATTTCTTTTTCTCCTTTTCCTCTGGGTCCCCCCCACCCCTTCATATTTTTCTCGCCCCATTTTAAAGCTTAAGTTTCCCAATGTGGCAGTTTTTAAAGCTAAGTTTCCCATGCTGGGTATTTGCTCCGGCAGTTTGTCATCTTGTCTAGTCTCTTTCTTGGGTGGCAGTGGCCCACCCCATAGTGGGACTAATGAAGTGGCCCATGGGAGGGTCTGTAGACTCATTCAAATATTTCTGCCAAAAAAGTTTAGAAGCAGGTGGAACATTATGGGGTGGGAGGAGAAAGACCAACGTGCGGCCTTGATGTATGTTGTTGTTAAGCGCCGGCGGGTTAGTTCCAACCCATTATGACCCTGTATAGGGTTTCCGAGGAGCACTTGGTGAACATGGCTCAAACCAACTTAGCAGTCCAGCACATTAACCACAGCACCGCTTTTCCTCATCTTCTAGCCTTTGATTTGGTCCTTGCTCTGCTCAGCCCCAGGATGAGGGGCCATGCCACTGAGAAGCACGTGCTGCAGAATGTGCAAGCACTCAGCATGAGAATGGGACTACAGAAATGTGTCCTTTCTCTCCTGCTGTCCACCCTCCCAGAGCACCATCCTGGGCCCATCTGCTTCAGGCTTGTTTGAAACTGATCCCCTTGGCAACTCCTCCCAGAATTTCCAAGGCCAGGGCCTGGGTTCTCTGATATTCCAGTTTCAGTTTGCCACTTGGAGCAGAGCCCAGAACCCTCACCCCCGGGCAGGGCCTTTTACTTGGAACCCACCTCTGGTGGTTCTAAGAGTTTTAACAGTTTGAGAGGAAGTACTGTTTGCAGGTGTCTCATCTGGAATATGTAAGATCCTGGAAATAAGTAATTCATTGTGGAATTTGCCTTTTAAAGCTCCGTCTTGGAAATAAAACATTTGGTTAATTTAAATTTTAGCCTAACATGATGCTGAAGGAGTCCTGGTTGGTGCTGTGGGGTTTGGCATTGGGCTGCTAACAAGCCCACCAGCTGCTCTTTGGGAGAACGATGAAGCTGTCTACTCTTGTAAAGATTTACCATTTTGGAAAATCCTATATAGCGTTGTTGTGAGTTGGAATCAACTCAGTGGTGGTGGATTTGGTTTTTTGGTTTAACATGATTCCAGGCCTGCATAGGTAAGGTCCCAGTGAATATCTGTTCAATGAGAGCACATGGGGTCTAACTACAAAAGAGGCCCCAGGGCGGAAGGACAGACAGGGTACCCTAGCAGAAGCACAGGGTGAACCAGAAGCATTGGGACCCAGCATTGGGTAAGAAGAGACACTTGTCAGGAGCCAAAATGGTGCCACTCCTGGGAGAGCTGTAATTTTGGCATTGGCCTGACTCCACTTTTAGCTAAGACAAAGGTACCTGCACGTTTTATGATAGAAACATAACTCATCGTGGGGTGCATGTTGATGCAGGGCACATCACGCTGAGCAAGTTTGGTGTTCTCCAAGCAGCCCAGGTGGAACCAACTGGAAACACAGCCTGGTTTTGTTCATTTCCCTCTCTGCTGGACCCACCTCTCCTCTGCCAGTGGGCTCGCCGCGAGGGTGTCTCCCCAGTGCCCTTGGGCAGACGTGATCTTCTCTGGTACAAAGTGCAATTACAATCTTGTTTTTCGTTTTTGTTTCTCTTCACAGAGAGAACTTGATGCCACTGCAACAGTGTTGGCTAACCGACAAGATGAAAGCGAACAGTCTAGAAAGCGGCTTATCGAGCAAAGCCGAGAGTTCAAGAAGAACACTCCAGAGGTGAGATGGAGTTAGGGTCCAGACCTGTGCCAAGGGCTCTTGATATTTGAGTACATGTTCTGAAGACATTTCGTTAGCATTGCATTTTTAGCAGACGAATGTGCTGCAAATAATCAGCCTGCCTCGTTGGTTCTCGGGGCTCCTGTGTGCCACCACGTGGGGCTGTGGTTATGTGAGCACTCAGGGTGGTTGTGAAAAGTAAAGCACAAGCGTATTACAGGTGCACACGTTGTGTATTCAAGAGTATGTGACCAGGTGTGTTGGAATCTCTGAGCCCCTGGCCCCTAAGCTCCGTCCCCAACTCTGTGTGCAGGCCTCTCACAAGTCCACGGGGATCAGTCCCTGTGGGTGACGGGCCTTAGAGGCCTTGCTTCCCTGGAGGTGGGGTGGGTAGGGGGTCTGAAGGGTGCACGCACCCGAGGTTGGCAATGCACCAGTATGTCTTGTAAGCCTGCCGTTTCGTGTGGTGATGCCTTGTGGACAGCTTTTATGTTTCTTTCAGTGTGCTTTATTTAGAGGACTCTGGAGATACACTCTTGATACGCTCCTGTATTTTTCTCGTATCAGAAAGACGGGGTTGAGATCTGCTAGGGCAGCGTTTTTCTGGTCTGTTTCCTAGGTCCCTCGTTCCTTCAGCCGCTGTCAAAGGTATATTAGAAAATAGGATGACAAACTGTTGTGGGAACTGCTCTCTGGGGAGTTCAACTTCCAGTGGTCCCAGGCCCTGGTGCCAAGCACCCACCCACCCAAGGCTTCAGCACCATCTGCCCAGTGGGAGCAGACTGCAGCTGGCCAGAGCTCCCGCCTCTGCTCCGAGAGGGAAGCTCATGCAGAGAGAGAAGCTCCTAACTTTTACAGTGTAAGGTTCCTGGAAAATCATGTGTCGATTAAAATGTTAGAAGTGGACGTGTTTTAAAAGTTTCAAAGACATTTGCTTATTTAAGGGAGTGCTGTTGGAGATTGTTTTGGAAAACAAATCATTAATCCTGTTTTCAGTACAAATATTTTGGGAAGAGACAGTGGGAAAAAGACCCTAAGGGTTTCAGGTTTAGACTTTTTGTCCTCTCCACCCTCCTTGCCCTTTATTATGTTTCATCAGACCTAAGAAGTGCAGATGGGGGGTGGGGTGGCACACTCTGCTTTGGCCATCGAGTGCCGGCACTGGTTGACATTAGTCCTACCATGGGCGTCTCTGTTGTTGTTGATAGTCAGACTCACTCAGAAGCTCCCTCTGGCCATCTGCTTCTGTAAAGATGGCAGCCTAGGAGACACTCCGGGGACAGGTCTGCTCTGTCCTGTAACATCGCGCCTCAGCAGAATCAGCTCCATAGACAGCCAACAACTAACCCCCAAGTAGAAGAGAGGCCTCGGGGAAGCAGCCTCTTGGGTAGACGCCCACTGGGACATTTCAGAGCATATTCAGATGCCGTGGGCACCCACTGAGAAGGGAGGAGCCTGGCAGTTGGGAAGGTGGCCCATGCTTGTTCCCATCCAGCCTTTGCCAGTTGGTGTCTTCCCCATCAGGAGTCTTAACTGTGGATTTCTGAGAAGGGCTGGAAGGGGGACTCTGTGCAGTCTCCTCTCGTGGGGGCTCTAATTTCAGTTCTGTCTCCAAGGCCTGCCCTGGAAAAAAATCTGCATGGGGCTCCTGGGGGAACTCTGAGGCTGTGTGGCCTGGTGGAGAAGACTCTCAGGTTCACTGACACCCAGCAACCAGAGTAGGGGTGGGAGCAGGCAGCTGCAGTCAAGATCCTGTGAGTGCCAAGAGGGATTCTTAACAGCCATGGGGGCGAGGGCAGGGGGCTATGGGAGTGTCACTGTATTGGACATCTCAGTCATTGTCGAGCTATGTTGTTTTGGGTGTCGTGGAATCGATTCCCACTCAGAGCAACCCTGTGTGACAGACTACAACTGCCCTCTAGGGTTTCTTGGCTGTAGGCATTATCAAAGCAGGTAATCAGGTCCTCCCCCTGCAACACCACTGCATGGGTCTGTCCTGCCAACCTCTTGGTTGTAGCAGCTGAGCACTTAACCAGTACACCACCAGGGTTCCATTGGGCGAGCTCTCCCACTGGACGAATGATGAAACCATTGAAGAAACAGATGAACATCTGTCGAGGTAACGCTACTAGAAATTGGATGTGTGAGAAGGTTTTGTTGTGAGGGATGAGAGGACATTTGGCTTATGAGAGGGAAAGGCGTAGTCCTGTGTTACAGACACAGCCCCTCCAGTCCTTGCCCACTGTCCACTGTCAGCCTGCCTCCAAGGCATCCGGCACAGGCAGACCCCGGACCAGTGGTCCTACTTACTGCTCTAGCACTAAATGTGCTGATTGGTGATGGCCATGTTAAAGTCCCTGTTGTTAAAGAAGACATTTTTCTCAGTGTCTTTTGCTTGTCCAGTTAAGTCCAAGACACAGCGTTGGCACCACAGAGAGTCCAGAGGCGAGTATGATTCAGTCTCGTGCTTTAAAGGGTTCATAGGTCACTGGGCTGGCTCAACTCCAGGAGACAGGGGCTGGGCTCTGCTGAGGACCTGGAGGATGGCTGGCTTAGCCTCTGTCAGGAACTGACCGTGTCGGGTCCCGAGCACAGAGGAAGGTGCTCAGCCCTGGAACATTTTTTGTTTATATATGACTTTCTGTCATTAGATTAATATATCCGTAGTCATTTGCTGTTGTGGCTATGCCTTTGTAATGCAGAGATTCTACGTCATTTATAGGGGATTGTAGTTCTGTGAATGAAACTTAGAAATTCCCTTGGATCAAAGAAGAATTCCTTTCAAAGAAAAACTGGTTTTTTATTTTCTAACTACTCAGTCAATTTCCTATTGAATTTAGTCATCTGAGTTCCAGTGTGGGCCTGTAGGATAAGCACTGTACTGCCGATCACAAGGTCGGAGGTTGAAACCCACTAGCCGCTCCCTGGAAGCTCTGTGCAGGGTCACTGTGAATCGGAATTGACTTGACGGCACTTAACAAGAAGTCAGTTCTTTATTGATTTAGTAACTGGTGGTGGTGGTGGGGTGTTGTCGAGCCACTTACGACTCCTAGGGACCCTGCATAGGGTTTTCAAGGTGGTAAATCTTCACTGGGACAGAAAGCCTCCTCTTTCTCCCGTGGAGTGGCTGATAGGTCAAACCGCTGACAATGTGTTAACACTCTGCTACCAAGACTCCTTTAGTAATTGGTGGTTGTTGTGGTGATGTGCCGTGGAGTCAGTTCCGACTCAAAGTGACCCTGTACAGGGTTTCTGAGGCTGCAAATCTTTACGGGAGCAGAGAGCCTCATCTTTCTCCCATGGAGCAGATGGTAGTTTCGAACTGCTGACCTTGAGGTTCACAGCCCAATTCGTAACCACTGTGGTTGAACATAATCAACTGTTGGAGACGTGTAGATTATGTTGTTTTTAATACGTAGTTCTTCCAGGTGACTTACTATCTTTGCGCAAATAACTTCATTGCCACAAAGTCCTGGTTCTGTCCTCTGTAAAGTGTTTGATGACTGGGCCCAGCTCCCAGGGCTGCAATGTGGTGTGTCTAACGGCTCCACACCAGGCTGGCACGGGAATCCGGTCCACCTGTGTTACTGGTATTAACTTGGAACATGTAGTTCCTACTCATAATGACCCAGTGTAGGGTGTGTTTGAACCACTTACCTTGAGGTTAGCAGTCCAGTGCTTATCCTACAGTGCCCCACGAGAAGTTCACATCAGGACTACATGTGGCTAGTTTTGAAAAGCAGAAATTAGCCACAGCAGGACCTGTTGTTAAGTGCCGTCAAGTCAGTTCCAACCCATAGCGACCCTGTATAGGGTTTCCGAGGAGCAGCTGGTAAGCTTGAACCACCGACCTCGCAGTTCAAACAGCTTTGTAGTCTGACGCATTAACCCACACCAGGACTAGATGTGGTTAGTTTCTGCTCTTCAAAACTCCCTCAGAGAAGGCACTGAGAGGAATGCAAGAGTTAAAGGCAACAGAGGGAAATACTGTTACATACACAGTCCTGCAGTACCGAGGACCCATGAGCGGATGCAGGTTGAGCAGATGTGGGAGGGAGTGGGGGGCTAGGCTTACAGAAGCTATTTCTACATGTGTATTTACCTTTGCTGTAAATATACCCATGAATGTGGTGACGTGTACAGAGAGCAGAGTTTCAAAAAGTTCTTAGACTTTTTCAAACACCTTAAAGGGATAAGTCACAGAACCCGGGGTCTTAGGACCATGGTCTCATGGGCCATTTTAGGTCTGTTGGCCTAACATAGTCCACCAAGACAATGTTCTCCATCTCCTATTTTGGTGAGTAGCAACTGGGGTCTTAAAAGCTTCGTGGCCTGTCATCTAAGGTACCGCTGTTGCTCTCCTCCCATTCGGAGGAAAGAAGACTGAAGAAAATCAAAGCCACATGGGAACAGTTAGCCCAGTAGACTATGGGCCATGCGAACCCCAGCCCCTATGGCCCTGAGCTCAGAAGAGCTAGGTGATGTCTGCCTACCCCTGCCAACTGTTCTGAAAGGGAATCCATTAGATGGTAGTCCTGGATACAGTGGGAGAACAAACGTGGAATGAAATTAAAAATAATAAAAAAGCCCCAGCTTATTGGTAAGGACTGGTGAGAGATTGCTTAGAGCCCTCAAGACCCTGTCCTCAGTCTTCCTTCAAGTCTGGAACTGAGCTCATCCCTGGGGCTCAGCTTTCAACCAGACAACACACAGTCTGTCAGGGGGACAAGGTATACCAGGGAGGCACCCACGCCTTATAGTAACCAACCGTTTGAAATCTAAAGGGCAGCAATTACCCAAGGACAGAGTTCAGAAAGGGGAGGAGAAAAGTAGCTTAGGGAACTTGGAAACACCAACCAATGTGGGGAGTTTCAGCTTCAAGTATTCCAAAAGCTAGTTTGATATAACAGTTCTTTTACTAGTATCTATGGAACACCTGGTAGTGTAGTGGTTAAGAATCGGGCTGTGAACCGCAAGATCAGTGGTTCGAAAATACCAGT